CTTAGATTTCGAAAAGCAGATACTGGCTCGAATCGAACTTTCGCAGACGACAAGCGATGTATCTACGATGGACGTAACGCAGACTAGTTTTTCACCGGTTTCTAAGACACCAATCAACCTGTCGTCCGATTCCCAACTTTTATCGCCAGGTATTTCTAATGAGGTTAATGGAAGCAAATGTACCGGCCCTTTATGTGCGTCTACGCCGAAAGGTAGAGAGCCGCAAAACGAAGTGGACGTGCGCGAAGACCTTATGCCTCGGTCACCGAAAGACATTGACAAAGAGGCATGGGTCAACCTGCCACCAGACGTTCAGTGGGAAGTGAAGCAAATGATGAAGAAGAGATCGACAGCAGTGGCGATGGAACTTGTGCAAGACGGTGGTAGCCAGCTGCCTTACGGTGATGCCGCAGTGGGGTCGAAACCAAAGAAGAGGACGAAAAGGAAGAGGAATACAGAAGCTTCTGCGTCTTTTCAACCTGTTACATTAGAAAAATTCTTCATTAGGTTCAGGTAACATCAACTTGCGGTGAGACTATTACTATCCTCGATTATTCAACCAAATTTAAGGCAGTTATTCGTGAATGTGATAATTTCTTTGCTACTACTATTATTTCATTCTATTAAATATTACTGTGTTCTCCAATATATATTTGAATTTGACCATGTATTACGCCTACCAATTTAGTCAAAGTTGCTGTACTATTTCTGTTATGAATAACTGCAGATTAAGAATAACTCGCAAGCATCGATGCAAATACAGCACGTTGCACTGGCAACAATATGTATGAATGCAAAAGAATACTCGTGGAAGCACATATTTGAGCTGAGAGCATTATTAACAGCAAACATAAAATATTACTCTAAAGTTCGTTTCCAAATACCGCGAATAGCATGTGGCATTATCAACAAGGTTAAAACGTCAGCCATACCCAGGAATATGACTAACATTTGCGTCTTGCCGCAAAGCATGGTGGAACCCAAATTTTCTTCGCCTTTTGCATTCATATACATTGTTGTCAGTGTAAACTGTTGTATTTGCATGCTAAAAACAGTACAGCAACTTCGGTTAAACATCTGAAAAGGTGATACACCCGCATAAGCCAACGTGACATCAAAAATCTATTATAAATACCATTTCTAATAAGGCCCAAAATATCATTTAATATGCTATAAAGACTCCTGGTAAGCAGTGCCTACAAATGTTCGACCATTATCAAAAAAAACAGATATACATCTCAAAAAACAGCTGGCGTCCAAACTTTTGATTTCGAACAAACGATGAAAAATAGAATCGAGCAATTAAGAACGATAAAAATGAAGAATTCGAATGAAGAATGTTTGAGCATCGCCTGCACGTGCGAATGGCAAAAGAAAAGCATAAGCGATACTTTTTTCGAAAAAGGAAATGTTCGGAAAAAGAGTTAACATTTTCAGATATCTATTGATTATTACAACGCTTTAAAAAAGACAGCTTTTTCATTTCTATTGCTTATTATATAAGAACGAAGAAATCTGCTTTACCCACGAAAATAGACAATCTCGAACAGGATTCAGTAGCACAGTTTAACATAATGATTGTCATTTTTTGAATTTGTATTTACCAGAGAATTTCTTACTTTGGATAATTTCAAACCTTGTTTGGATTTTTCTGATTTCGAAGGAACATTGGTTTTTCTTGAAAACGACGTCACACTTCGACAGCGTTTATAAGTTAAAGCAAGTCAATGGTTCATAAGTTCAGAATTCTGTGTAAGCGTTCTTTAGAGCAATACATGGAATGGACATGCCGAACAGGCGTCTTTCAATCCTTCCGCTCAAGAATGCATTCTAGAAGGATAAACGTGGTCGATCATGGGGAATTCTCGGTTCGGCAGCTCACATCAGAGTAGGCCTGTTGCGCGTTTAGTACTTCAGACAGCACCTTCATTTGTTATTTGTCGTAATTTTCGAGTGTCTCTTGTTCAGCTTTCGTTACCATATGCCTTGGTCACTGGCATCTCATCGATAGGAACATACTATCCTGCGGTGACTTCCTCCCCCTTAGTAACAATGCCACCCGCCAGTCATTACGAACAATCAAAATATTGGCACACTTAGCTTTTACGTCACTCGATATTGTCGACCGCATGGTTATAGGACAGGTAAGCTGCACAAAACAGACGATGGTTGATTACTTGTTCCATACATCATTTCGCCGAACGTCCCATGGGATTGAAGGCGTATTGCAGTTTTCACAATTTCTTAATGCGTCGCTCTTCTAGTTCAACATTCATGATTTCCGGAAAAGACGAGATGATCAGTCTGTGTTTCATCGCGAGTTACAGCCGTTTAGACTCGATCGGTTATCCATCGACGTGGCGTAGTTATCAGGTATATACGGAAGGACTAGCGTGCCAATTCAGGAGCGACATATTCCTTCCAGTCTGACACCATAGACTATCCGATCGTTCATTGATGGCGAACATTCAAGTATACGTACAACAAAGTCGTGGTAAATATTTACGTTGCTTCTTACTATGACGCATATGGCCTGGAACCATTTAAGATCTCCTTGAGAACGTGCCTGTTATCGATCGTTCAAAAAATCTGCTCATGCTGGAGATTTAAATCGCCACCAGTGGGTGTTTCTTGAGACACTTCGTCTCTTCAATATGATAGAGTTTGAAAGCCTGCAAACACGGCTATCAATCGAGCTTATATAAATGATTTACAAAAGTATTTTGCTTGTTTGGATGCCCCACATGGAGTATCGAACTGTTTTATTCAGCCTCTTTCACAAAATGTTTCATCGGTTCTACATGAAATTAAACGGCGACTTGTTTTTAAGCACAGTATACTGTTAAGACTCTCGTCCTATGAACGTCGTCAAACTACGGCATTTTTTATATCGCTCTGCCTTGCTTAAATATTCAACATATAATAGTGCGAACGAATAAGACTCAGGAATGATGAAGATCGCTACTGTCCTACGTGATAGTTTCAATACCCTTTCTCCGGTACAAAAGATACAAATCAGAGTACGATGTCACATTAAAAGAACAGAAGTCACTTAAAGGAAAAGTCCCAGAAAAAACTCTGCTACTCCACCGAAGCAGAAATCAAGCCAGAAACAACATGGCTTAGCCTCTACAACTGTTCTGCTGACAGAGACACGAGAAATTTACAGCAAAATAATGAAGACCGTGTAACACAACGCAAATACAAGAACAAGGCTATGCCGGATAGGAACAAAATAAACCATAATTTCAAGCGTTTCGAAAAAGAGAGGACA